TGTTCATTGAGATAAGGTCTCACTATGTAGCCCAGGCTGGTCTCAAACTCATGATCCTCCTGTCTCTGCCTCCAGAGTAGCTGACATCACAGGCATGTATCACCAGGCCCAGTTTGCCACATAGGGATTATTCCCATGACTGATCTGCCCCGCCCCCTTCCCCTGGACTTGCTGCCTAGCAGGCCCATTACAGACCAGCCTGGCCCTGCCTGCCTCTTGCACTGTGACTTGGGTCCACACCTCCATTGCAAGCTGTCTTGGGTCCACGCCTCTGTTGCAAGCTGTTCCTCTCACCTCCCTGTGGTGACTAATGGACCTTGACTGTAGCCTTGATTGATTGGGTGACAGAGTAGCCAGGGTCTGAAGCACCCTGGTGGCTCTTTGCACAAGAAAGGGGAGTCCAGGGCACATTCCAACCCTGTCAGCATTGGCTTAGCCCTTGTGGTGTAAAATCTCACGCCTGGAACCCTGTGAGCTCCTGGTACCAGCTGCAATTTTATTGGTGGTCTGTGACTTCAAAGGCCTCTCCTTTTGCATGGTTGGGCCAGGCAGGATGCTGAACAGAAGGCGTGTATGCCAGGGCACTGGGACCCCCTCACCCTGCCATCAAGCCTGGAACCAGCTTGCCCTGTCTCCAGCCTGACTTACCTCTTTCTTTCATATCCACACAAATTTCTTTCCCAGTTTGCTGTGGCCAGGACAGACAGAAGGCAGCTGCCTACTTAGAAGACTGCTTTCATGAACCAGTGTATTCAGGTTTACAGGCAAGATAACTTCTGATTAAATGTCTTTTTACTATCCCAACTAGATAAGGTATTTCTCCTTTTATATTAAAGAAAGCCCCCTGAAGGGGTATGGTCTGGGTAACTCCGGATTCCCACTAGCTATCTCTCTCCCCCGTCTATCAAAGAGGGTGAAACCAGCTGCCAGAGCATCACAGTTCTTCAGAAGTTAGAAAAGGTTAGATATGGACGGACAGACTGAAGAACTTCTGTCACAAGGCACCGCTCAGTCTACACTGTTGGTATCCTACTCAGGCAGTCCCGAAACTCAATAAAGTATTCAAGACATGCTCAGTATCTGAATCTCCACTCTGATACTCCTAGCCATGTTCTTTTGGGAGAGTAGTCTAATCCCTCTGTGCCTCAGTTTCCTCATGGGGATTAAATTAGTGAAGCACTTCAACAGTCCCCAGATCTAGGTATGTGCTATGGAAATGTTTGCTGTTATTATTACAGCTACACATGTCTCATCTTGCTTAAATATGCTACATGAATATGTATTATCTGCTAATGAATGAGATGACCATCTTCCAGCATTCTTTCTTTCTTCCCCTGTCTCACAATACAAACTGGCACATCCAGCCCAGGCTGGCAAGGGTAATAAGCACAACCCAGCCCCTGCAATACAGTTTCCTCATGTGTAAAGGCAATTAAGAGCAAGTGACTTACCCAAGCCATACAGCATTTACACAGAGTTTCAGCAGAGCTATTGAATAATAGGAGCCTAACAGAGCACCTGGCTTATCATGGGCACCTAGTGAATTTCCTCTCTTCACAGCTTGGCACACCATAGCTCAACAAACACTTGGTAGATGGCGGTCCTTTCTGAAGAGCATGTGTTGAACAGAGAAGTGGCATCAGGGGCTGGCTCCATCCTCTACCGCTGGCCACATTTTCCATAGTGGCTATACTCAGAACACACTAGATAGGCTGATCAGTTTCAACCCCTCCAGAGCAAGCACTGCATCTCTTCCCTTACACTTGGTAGCATCTGGTACAGCTCTGTGTAAACCCCCTAAGACACAGCTCCACAGAAGCAGCCCTTGGTTCAGGGGGAAAGTGAGAGAAGTCAAAGAAGGGAAAGCTGCCCTCCACTCTATCCAGAATCTCGCTGGAGATGGAAACTAAGGGGAATGGAAACATGACAACAGGAAAACACACACCATTTTGAAGTCTGCCCAGCTGGGAGTCAAGCCACATTGAAAATCAATAAGGCATTCAATGCTGGGAGCTCAGAAAGCCAACTGAATACCTGCTTGGGCCTCCTTTAAAGCAGAGAAACCTTTGAAGTTGCAGATGACCAATAAAAATACAGCTGGAATTTACAACTTCAACCCCCTCTGCCTTTGCTTTTCCCAACATTGCTAGTGCTGCACACGAAGCTACCCCAGGCAGAAATCTTGGCCCAAGACCACTGGGCCCCTGCACATTCTATGGACAAGGGCAGACTGGCTTCTGGTGTCCACTGGCCAGAGATTGATGATTAACTAGGCAGCTGCTCAGCACAAGCCTGTCAAGTTTGAGCCATTTGAGGCAAGGCTAAGGTTCCCCAAAGCATGTAAGATAAGGTCAGAGCGAAGTAGTCAGTTGTGGCCAAAAGATCCTGAGGGAAGCTGTTGGCCTCATGGGAGCCCATTACTCTGGTTTGTTTCCCCATCCACTGTCTCATTCTACACTTGCTAAATGTCTGTACTACCAAGAGAAGTATGGGGCTCCTGAATAAGGTTCACTCCCAAAAGAAGGAACAATGAAGACTTGACAGATAAAGAAATGAGTCTACAAAGGCAGAAAAGGCAGTACTAAATCCTGATTCCCAGCTGAACCACAAGGATGAAGGTGTGACTGGAGGTTCCTCTCACTTCTCTCCTTTCCCTTCTCACCATTCCTATGAAGTTCCATGACCTTACTCTTCATTCAATAAGCACATAACAACTTCTCAGAAGCAGGGCCTCAAGGTCCAGCCAAAGACACGAGACTTAGAGCCATAAAATATCCAGGAAAAAAGCTACAAAGCAGTCTCAGAATGACTAGATGTTATACTACACAGTACATAATACTACACAGTATATATGGGAGATGTCAGGCCTAATGACCAAGCTAAGCTAATGTCAATAAACAGAGAACTATTAGGAAATTCATTTATCAAGGCCTTGTTTATACTCCTATTTGTCAACCAAATTATTTGTTTGACTTGTGGCCTCCTTGGTTTATTACGGTCATTTCTGTCATCAGCAGGTCAGAGCAGCTGGAATTTCACACGTTGGCTAACAAAGCTGTGGTGATCAGCACATAGCTTAGCAGAGGTATGGTCAGCATCCTCACCTAATCAGAGCTCTCAGCAGGCTGGAGGAGGTCTGTCTTCAGTTAACAGCCACACTTTATAATCCCATGACTAACTGGACCTTAATTGATCTGCTAATCACTGCTTCCTGTCTCCAGAAATCAACTGGAGAAGCTGATCTCTGAAGCACCCTTCTGCTCTTAGGGGGGACTGTCATCAGTAAGCAACTGCAGGACAAAAACAGAGCAGCAGGGCCAACAGGAGACTAGTAACTTTCTGGGAATGCCAAGGTCCTAACCCACTTGGTTCTGATCTCCACAATGCCCTCTCTCTCTATCCTCACACCCCCATGCACCTGTGCCTTCCCTTTCTCTGTCTCATACATATGCCTCCACATTCTACAGGTCAACCTCCTCCCCAAAGCCTCCGCCTATCCACCGAAGCCAGAAGGATTTATCACACCTCCACCTTCCCTAGTCCTAATGACCACCTGTTCCACAGGCAACTTTCACCCACAGCTCTGTGAAATTCCCTTCAACTGGATAACAGTGGGGAAGATCCTTGAGGGCCACCAACCTTCCATGTCTCCCAGCTCTGTATTCCAGTTCTTGGCCCTGTTGCTGACCAATACACATCCGTACGGGTTCACATGTAATGCTGGGCCACTAGGGTATGCTACTTGTGCAAGTGTAACTAGGGGTGCTGCCCCCCCAAGGCATCCCTGTTTAAGACCTCACCCATAAAAATAAATAGGGAATGATAATCACTTTGGTTAAAAGCAGCAGCCTTCCCCGCTTTCATCTCTACACTGCACTAACTTCTGGGGTTTGCACTTCTCTGAGCCGGTGCTTCCTGTTTGGGAAATAAATGTGAAATGATTTCTCCATTCCAACTGACAGATCTCAGTGGGTTTCTGAGTATCAGACAGGGGAGCCCACCTCATAAAAAGTCAAGCTCCTTTATTACTTTGAAAGGAAAAGGTTGAAGGGCCTTGTGGGGAGTGAGACCAAGGATCCGATTTCTCTAGAATCACTCACAGTATTATCTATCCTCAGCAGCCACCCTATGGATTCTGACACACATCAAAAAAAGGAGTCTGGAAAAAGCAGCCAGAATCTCTTACCTTCTGTAAAAAGCTACTGTGCAGTCTGTTCCTTTGTAGTCGAGCTTTTTTTTTTTTTTTTTTTTTTTTAAATTAAACCCATTTTGAAAAAACAAAAAAAAAAAACCACACATAAGTGATTTGAGC